AACGTGCATGACATTTTGTACCAAAATGTGCATGACATTTTGTAATAAAACTTGCATGACATTTTGTACCAAAACGCGCATAACACTTTCTATTAAAACGTGCATGAAAATTTGTATTAAAACGTGCAAAACATTTTGTGATAAAACGTGCATAACATTTTGTATTGAAACGTGCATGACATTTTGTATTAAAACGTGCATGACATTTTTTATTAAAACGTGCATGACATTTTGTATTAAAACGTGCATGAGATTTTGTAGCAAAACGCACATAACATTTGTATTAAACGTGCATGACATTTTGTAAATTAAAACGTTAAAATGACATTTTGTACCAAACGTGCATGACATTTTGTATTAAAATGCATGACATTTTGTATTAAAACGCGCATAACATTGTTAAAACGTTCATGACATTTGTATTAAAAAATGCATTACATTTTGTATTAAAACGCGCATAACATTTCGTAATAAAACGTGTATGACATTTTGTATTAAAACTTGCATGACATTTTGTATTAAAACGCGCATAACATTTTGTATTGAAACGTAAATGACATTTTGTATTAAAACGTGCATGACATTTTGTACCAAAACGTGCATGACATTTTGTACAAAAACGCGCATAACATTTTGTATTAAAACGTGCATAACATTTTTTATTGAAACGTGCGTGACATTTTGTATTAAAACGTGCATGACATTTTGTATTAAAACGTGCATGACATTTTGTATTAAAACGTGCATGACATTTTGTATTAAAACGTGCAGGACATTTTGTATTAAAACGTGCATGACATTTAGTATTAAAACGTGCATGACATTTTGTACCAAAACGCGCATAACATTTTGTATTAAAATGTGCATGAAAATTTGTATTAAAACGTGCAAAACATTTTGTATTAAAACGTGCATAACATTTTGTATTGAAACGTGCATGACATTTTGTATTAAAACATGCATGACATTTTGTATTTAAACGTGCATGACATTTTGTATTCAAACGTGCATGATATTTTGTATTAAAACGTGCATGACATTTTGTATTCGCGTGCGCAATGCGAAGGCCACGAATGACTGACTTTGGAGTGTTGGAGGTTCGATATAATTTATCCTGAGTGCTTTATACATAAGTGACATTTTTCTCTTGGAAATTATTCATAATGATGATGACGGATCGTCGCAGGATCAGGAGGATCATCGCAATATCAGATGTTCAAGAATCGTTGCAGGATCACATGGTATGGTATGGTGTGGTATGGTATGGTATGGTATGGTATTGCTACCTAAGTGATATTTGTGTCTTGAAAATTAATGTCATATCATTTTGATAAAGTATTGTTGAAGGATCAGATGTTGAAGGATTGTCGCAGGATCAGATGATGAAGGATCATCTCAGGATCAGATGGTGTGGTATGGTATGGTATGGTATGATACTGGTATCTAAGTGATATTGTGACTTGAAATTAATATCATATCTTTGTTCTAAAGATCGTTGCAGGATCAGATGTTGAAGGATCGTCGCAGGACCAGACGGATCGTCGCAGGATCAGTGATGAATTAGATGTTGGAGGAGCGTCGCAGGATCAGTGATGAATTAGATGTTGGAGGAGCGTCGCAGGATCAGTGATGAATTAGATGTTGGAGGAGCGTCGCAGGATCAGTGATGAATTAGATGTTGGAGGAGCGTCGCAGGATCAGTGATGAATTAGATGTTGGAGGAGCGTCGCAGGATCAGTGATGAATTAGATGTTGGAGGAGCGCAGGATCAGTGATGAAGATGTTGGAGGAGCGTCGCAGGATCAAGTGGAAGCTGGTTGAGGTATATACTATAGGTATGCATGATTAGTGCATGTGCATGCTGCATGGCATTGGATCCTCCTGGTGGTCTAACCTAGTATATTCACACATCAAGTGACATTTCAATCTTTTCGACTATGCATGATAACAGGAAATTTCTCACAGCTCTTATGAGGGCATTTTTCGAGTTTTCTCGATAAAAAAATTCCTAGTTTTGTCACTTGTGTGAATACGTGTGAAATCCAACGACGTAGCGTCTGCGTATGCATGATGGCTTTAAGGCGTTCAAAAGAAACTAACAAAATGCAATTTGTTAGAGAAATATCGAATTCGTATTAGCCTAATTTTAGATTAATACGAAGGTAATCGCGAGTACTTATATGATTATATAAGTTCTCTGTTCAGCCTGTTATAATGCGTTTCGAAGGACCGTCCGTCAGTGGCAACAAAAATTATACCTTAGCATGGAATTTTGAAGTTTGAAATGAAAAAAAAAATGAGTGCTTTGCTGTTTAGACACTTAGTACTCTTCTTTTTCCCTTGTTCGTATTATTTTTTGGTTGGCAGTTGTAAGCTTTGAAAAATCCGATTAATCCCGAACATGAAGGAAATAAACGTTATCTAATCACTTTGACTAACTTGATGAAATTTGTATAAGAGGAGAAAATATACCTCCCATATTGCATTGCATGATAACTGGACTTATAGTGGGGGTATCTCGAGGTATAATGTTTAAACTGTAGCTTTAATATTGTATAGTACTCTCTTGCCTGAAAAGCCAACCCTTTAAAGAAAACCCTTTGCATTTTGACACACTTACTATGTTGTTTAATTTCTTACACGCCCAACCGTCGAGATGCTGTTGAAGAAGAAGATAACTGTTTGGAGTGGAGCAACGAAGCAAGTGAAATTCGATACATTGTTTACCAAAGGTAATTATACGTTACGAAAATTTAAAGGTAAGGGGACATTATTGATTAGCTATATTGAGTAAGTTGCATGTTCAGCCCGATTACGTTTATTTCCTTCATATTCGGTCAACCGTAATCCAGAACGTATAAAATAAAAATAAAAACAGTGCATGAGGCATGTCTTAAAAAAGGGGTAGAAGAAAAGTGTTATTGTCTACATCAGTTTGATATGAAAAGCATGCAAGTCGTGAATACGAAGTATTTTTTTATCATAAAATTAACATTTGAATAATTCGGAAATAATTTTCGTTGCCATTGTCGGACAAAGCGCAGTTGAATGTCTAAGAGCATGATGTTTTGCGCGCTCTAAATATGCGCGCGCTCCGCAGGTTAGACCACCAGAAGAATCGAATTAACGAGGATCAAGAATTGCGGCAATTCCTGGGACTCGGTTTGAAATTAGCGGAGCTGAAACGATGAATTATAGATAAAAACTGAAGTGCATGTCATTGCGACGATTTCTAATAAAAATACCAAATTCGGACCGCCGGTCAGGTAACCTGAAATTCAGGTTACCTTTGGAGGGTTTTTCACCGGGCACTCCGGTTTCCCTCCTTTTCGTTTGGCTTTAAAAAAGAGTGTCCAGGCCTGGGGCCAAACCAAAACGTGTTGTTTGATAGTGATAAAAACGCGTTTGTGGCTTCTGGGTTCGATTCCCAGAACACTGTCGTAAAAGAATTTTAAAAAGATGGTTGTGGAATCATTACGTAATTTACGTAATAAATAGGAAATATCTGGCATTGGATTAGCACGTAATAGGTCCTCATGGTCAGGGCCGCGGGGATAAGCACTGTTAAGGGGGAGGGCATCTCCTGTACTCCAAAAACTGGGAACGAAGGATGGGGGGGCATCTCCTCCCCCAAGAAAATTTGAAATTTACCAGGCCTCCTGTTTAAAAACCACTGTTTAAAACATTGTCTTTGAAGTAATAAAAGGCAGTTGAACTTACAATCTAGACGAAACTCAGTCTTTGCACTTGCAGTCTCGAAGAAGTTTGGGAAAAGTTGGAAGTCTTGCTTAGGTACATGGTGATATTCCTGCCGATTTTTACTGCTTTATCTTGTATATTTCGGTTGAAAATGTCAAATGCAAGTGAGCGGTTACTTTAATTTAGTGTTTCCTTGCTTATTTGATTCCAGAACGAACTATGGCGCCGAAAGATGGGGAAGGAAAAACGTAAAGGCTTTCTCGCAGCAATAATAGGTATTATTCTATTAATATTTTCTATTTTGCATTTGTGACTTGAAAAAACACGTTGTGTGTGTTCGTGGTAGTCCTTCTTGGAGAACTGTAAACATTCCTTCAACTACAGATATCTCGTTGTCGGAATGGAACTCTAATATAAGATAAAGTAGTTTTCTCTAGTTTATATCTAAGTTTATATGCGTAATTTTTTTCTTTTGTATTGTGCATGCTTTATAAAAAGTATATGATATCGAATATACTTTTTATGATATTAAAACAGGCAAAAAAAATAAAAATTTCAACCGCTCTTCACCGCAATTTCGGCTCTCTTCACCGCAATTTCCACCGCTCTTCACCGCAATTTCCACCGCTCTTCACCGCAATTTCCATCGCTCTTCACCGCAATTTCCACCGCTCTTCACCGCAATTTCCAGTCGCTTCTACGCATGTGCGAGCTTTGTTTACATTTTTCGTTTTGGTGTGATCCATTTCATTTGCACAACATGAACTATCCAGAAAACTAAATTAAAATGGCGGACGCATCAAGAGTGAAGAGTGGAGCTTTATAAAACCATTCAACAATTGTCTTTTAAAAACAACCAAATAAATATTTTGAAAAACAACTACTGGAAGATATCTCCTGTAAGTTTGTCGATTTTATCTAAGTTTGAGATACTGTGTATAATTATGTTTACAGTGATTGTTGGATGACTATTAAATTTGGATAAAAGATTATACTCAGATAATGATTTTGTTTATAAAATACCTTCGTACTCTGTTCTAATATTGCAGGATTCAGATTTATGAGCAAGACAATCGTGCTTCAATGGTCAAAGTAGCTCTTCTGAGTGTGTTTCATCAGCGACATCAACGCCATGTGGGTCAACATCACTGAATGAAACTGCTTCAATACGAAAGCTTACAAGTGAAGATATAGATAGAAGAGAGATTTTGATGGCGAGTATGGTTATCGAATGATTGAACTTTCAAACCTAGCAAGTGCATTTCAGTCCTTGCATAATTGGGAATTAGGTGGAAGTTGAAAGTTACCAATGATGAGTCTCGTAGATATGGAAATAGCAAAGTCATTGTTGAGTCAGATGTTGCAGAGATTGCTGTGAGTTATGATGGCACATGGGCTAAGCAAGGGTTCACTGCAAACTTTGGAATTGATTTTGTTATTTCTGTTGACACTGGTGAGGTTCTTGACTATGGTTTTGGATCCAAATTATCGAAGTTTGACATGTATGTATGTGATATATTATTGATAATTGGTGATAAAGTTGCCAACCTTAGTATAAATTAATATATGCTAATCACTGAGTAGCGTGTACGCGCGCAGAACACGAGTGTTGGGCTACCTATCATATTACATGATGTTTCACCATTCGTTCTCTCACTTCTCTGAGCAAGAAAAAAAACAATCCCGAAAATTCAACCACATTCACCACAAAGAACAACCACGCCTCGTGTTTTAATAAGTCACTGTTGGTATCTTATTCTTGATTTACTCAAATATATGGATCGCTTCTGACGCTTCACCCTCGCAAAATTTTGTAGATGCTTTAATATTTGTGCATGGTGAGACTGAAGTGAAGACTTCTGAAAATCGGACAATTAATTGATAATTGTCATGTAATTTCCTGGTATAACATCTCAACCTAAACATTGTAGTTAGAATATAATAACAATATCAACCTCAAATTCAAGCTAATATTTTGTATGCAATCAAGCAAAATTTAGAAATGCTGGTTGTTAATTTCACTGCAATTATTACACAAGATATAATTACAATCCTTTATTATTACCCAATCCTGTTAGAATTGCTATCACATGTGAATGCAATATAATTTTTTTACACAATCATTATTCAATTATTGTTTTCAGAATAAATTATGCCTTAGGAGGCCTTCTCCAGACAATATTTATTGCAAGCTATATGATATTTGCTCCAATATTTGGCTATATTTGTGAAAGATACAGTCGCAAGCTCATTATGATCTATTGCCTCATTATCTGGTCCTTAACAACATTTTTTAGCACACTACTTAATAAACACGTATGTAAGCTTTTACTGATTTCATAGAGTGAGTTAGAAGTCAGATATGTTAAAAACAGAAGGAAAATGGTGGGTTAATGAATAGTTTGCAGTATATTTTTACCAAACCTAACCAACTGAATTTACCACTGTAATTAGAACTTCATCATCACAAATTATTTCTTGCAACTCATTATCAAAAAAATTATTATGTTTAAAATCCTCTGGGCTATTTTAATCAGATAATTTAAAATGGACACTCATGAAGCACAATTCCACATGGTATAATAATGGACTGCAGTATAATATGCACCCTTCTGTGGCTTCCTTAATATTTTACTATAGAAATTTTATTTGTGCCATACAATTGTGGAAAAATTACAGTGCATGTGTAATTCAAATGTTGTTGCCTAAATGATACGGCAGCATTTTGTTGTTCGTCAATGGCAATTGCTGTGACAATATTTAAGCCTGAATATAATGGGGTGCATTGTACCTTTTCAGCTACCTTTTTTGGCAGCTCATTTTGGATGTCATCAGTGCACAAAGGCACCTGATGCAAACCATGAGCAAAATAATCGAACACCCACTGTGCCATAAAATTTGGTGCAGGACCCCTTGCACAATTCTGCAAGCCATCAGCATTCCAGCTGCCTTAAAATAACCCTCTTGAGTGATATGGTGCTCGGTACAGGAACACCATCTTCAAAAAGTCTGATTTTCATTTGATCCAAGGTTTCTATTATTTCATTTTGGGCAATATTTTAAGGATTAGGCTGCTTTGATGTGTAATATAAAATATATATAACGCATGCACTTTAAGGTGAATATCATAGCGAATTGGCAACATATCGACCTAAAAAAACATGTATCCACTGAGGACAATTTCTTCTTTAAAGGGGTCCCATTTTTATTAAAATCGGTCAAGTATTCGCACAGGAATCGCAAATTAAAATCAGCAAAACTTTGAATTATCACCGGAGTTTATCGGCATTATCATACCATGTGATCTTCTACGATTGTCAGCAAGATTGAAGATTGTTCGAAGAAGAAGGAGTTCGCCGTTGACTAAAACGTAAGTTCTGGCTTGAGTTCTTCGACTTGCTGTATGCTGCCACGGTGGGGGTTTCTTTCCCCGCTGGGGTGGTATACAACGATCATTGCACTCTGCTAGTTCCCACTGAATTACTGAATGTAGCTCAGGGTTTCTTTGCTTTTTTTCGTTGTATATAGGTTTATCTGAACAGCCAGTTGTCAAAAGATGAAGTAGAAATATTTTCTTAAAGCTGTGACAGTTTAATATCAGTTCAACTGATTCAGTTGGGGAACTTGTGGAGGTGAATTTCAAAATAGCGATGCCACAGAGATGATGCCATGTGGACCTTGTGGCTTTCACCTTTGTGGGCAAGCTGGTCGTGCTGTGTGTTCAAAGTTAAGTATTTTGTTTTCCTCTTAATCTTCTAAAGCAAATCGTTTGGTCAGAAATAATGCAAAAAACCATGTACAATATGAAATACTCTTCCTAAAAAGCTAGCTAATTCAGCTCCAATTTTAATACGAATTTTCCCTTTAAATCTAGCATGAAGATGAAGCCGATTTCGAGGGAATCTTTCAACGTGCTAGCCAGTAAAGGTATTAAGCTCATAACATTTTAGTGATATATGGCATGTTACATTGTACGCCCAGAAAGTAATATGGCTCGGCTTTTAATCCTTCTTTAATTTGCCGTGCTGGATGCTGTATTTCCCTGGATGAAGGGATACTTAAGCTAGAAATCATTTGAACCAAATTAAAAAGGTTATAATCTTCTCTGCCATGTGTTTATTTGTAAGGTAATTTATTACCTGGGCCAGTAGCAATTTTAGTTTAAAATAACAGCATTCTGTCAATGTGACATGTAAAACTGACTGCTTTTGCTTTGTAAAACAGCCACACCTTTATTCGTTGAAATTCTTGTACTTAATCATAGTTTGACCAGCACTTTTTTTTTGTTCAAGATTTGTGTTGGATATGTTCCTGTTTCTTCAGAAGCCAAGGTAAGATTGTTTCCTTTTCACATGAGACTTATATTGGTTTATAATGTAGAAAGTTATATTAATTATTAATTAATTCCCAAGGAAATTGTACTAGCTGTTTAGTAACTGGAAACTTTCAGGCTTTAAATTCATGAATTGAAGCCACATATTGAATATTGATACTGAATTATGTACTATTCATCTTATTATATCTGCTTAATGTTGCTCCAGTATGTGTGATCAAACCAGATGCATTTACCTTATATTTTGGATGTAAGGAAAGTTGCTAGCACTTTACTCTTCATGAAATCTGATGGGGGAAAAACCAACCAACAATTACTATATCAAGATAGTAACCATTCCATTTTACAGTCTACATAGAGTTAACTATAATATGGTGACTTATGCTTATTATTTGTAACATTCTCAGGCTTCCTAGTGGCCACGTTGCATTTTGAGGTATATACTTTGATGATTGGAATTTACCCTCTTCGATAGCCAAGGTAAGATTCTTTCCTTGCACAGGACACTTATGTATCATAGGTTATATAATGTAGCCAGAAATTTATATAGGTATATTAATTTCTCAAGCAAATTGTACTAAATGTTTAGCTACTGGGAGCTTGCTACTACCCAGGAAATATATTGCCTTGGTGAAACAAATACCATATATACTGATGTACGAAGAGTTTATATATACTGATGCACAAAGAGTTATTATATACTGATGCACGAAGAGTATGAAGAGTTATTAAATATAGCTAGCAACCCATATCATGTTTACCAGTTCAAAATTTTGCACCCAACCTAATACCAGGTTCAAATAACTCAAACAAGCTGCATTGCTGACCTTTTTGTCTCTGGTAGAAGAACACGAATGTTGGCTTTGTTTTTTTGAAATCCCCGTTGGCAGGTGAGAAAGATCATTGTTAAGTTTTATCTGACTCCAGGATGTATTTGATATGTTATGCTGGTAGGTGATTTTAACTGATAGAATTATGCAGTATAAATATAGTTAGTTTGTGTAGGTTTCTTGCTGTAGTAAACACTGAATCAATAAGATGATCCAGTATGCCATTCCTGGCTTCAAAATATATTGTTCTTTCTTATTTTAAGTTAAATATGTATTTCTGAAATTATATAAATTTATTATTTCGGTAAAGACATTTCTATAATATAATTGTTAGCAGTTGTCTTGTTTCATTGTAGATATAGACAGAGCCACAGCATCGGCATTGCAAATCCTACCTATCACATTTGTTAGGAGATGCTGGCAGTCCTAATATTGTGGGTTTGGTATGTAATATACAGTTTGTTTTACCCAAAGCTATAAATCACAGGAGAAATATTTTCAGCTAGCTAGCAACCCATATAATGTTTACAGTTCAAAATTTTCACTTATGCCAAAGAGCCAACAAACGTATTTTTAGGCATTTCTTTCTTCATCATTCATGGTAACCGACTGAATACAAATTTAAACAATTCAAACAAACTGCATTGCTGACTTTTTTGTCCCTGGAAGAAGAACACAAATGTTGGCTTTGTTTTCTTTTGAAATCCCTGTTGGCAGGTGAGAAAGATCATTATTATACATTTTATTTGTCTCCAGGATATTTTTGAAAGTATTACCATTATCAAGACTAGATTATTTCATTGTCTTAACTATATAGTGAAAACTTTTTAGTGGTCTCTCAAGATGTTGTTGGTTCAAAAGTATCTTCTGCATTTAGTGGTGACAATTATTTTATAATAGAGAAAACACAGGGTATGTAAACATGTGAAATAAACATGTTATTACTTGATGTGTTTCAGGTAACTCCAATCTTGGGTGTGCTTCTTATCATCTTGTGCTTTATATCTGTTGTTGAACCTGTCTAGGGGCAAATTGAAAAGACTCAGGGTGATATCGTTGCAAACAAGGATGTTATTATTCGTCGTTCATGGTTGAATGATGTGAAACATATGTTACGCTGAAATGTGATTTTTAACAACAGATGTTGCTTACTGCAGGATGAACTGTTTAGAGCTGATAGAATTATCCAGTGTAAATATAGTTAGTTTGTGTAGGTTTCCTGCTGTAGTAACGCTGAATCAATAAGAGATGATCCAGTATGCCAATCTTGGTTATGCCATTGATCCTGGCTTCAAAATATATTGTTCTTTCTTATGTTACTTAAACATGTTTTTCTGAAATTATATAAATTTAATAATTCCGTAAAGACATTTCTATAAAATAAGTGTTAGCAGTTGTCTTGTTTCTTTGTAGATACAGACAGAGCCACAGCATGGGCTTGCAAATCTTGCTATCATATTTGTTAGGAGATGCTGCCAGCCTTATATTGTGGGTTTGGTATGTAATATATAATTTGTTGTGCCTAATAAAGCTATGAATCACAGACACGCCCGCTTAATCTAATTATGATGTCACTTTCGGTGGGCGGGGCTTTTTTTGCTACTTCCTTACGCTTTGATTTTCAACTTCCGATTTTTTGTGGGCGTAGTCAGACACGCCAATCTAATTATAACGTCTTCTCCGGTGGCGGGGCTTATTTCCCTACTTCCTTACACTTTGACTTTCAACTTCCGATTTTTTGTGGGCGTGGTCAAACATGGCAATTCAATCTAATTATGATGTCACTTCCGGTGGGCGGGCTTATTTCACTACTTTCTTACGCTTTGACTTTCAACTTCCGATTTTTTGTAGGCGTGCTCAGACACGCCTACTTAATTTAATTTTGACATCACTTTTGGTGGGCGTGGCTTATTTCTCTACTTCCTTAGGCTTTGACTTTCAACTTCCGATTTTTTGTGGCCGTGGTCAGACACGCCCACTTAAATCTAATTATGACGTCACTTCCAGTGGGCGGCGGTTTTCTCGCTACTTCCTTACGCTTTGATTTTCAAGTTCCGATTTTTTGTGGAAGTGGTCAGACACGCCCACTTCAGCACGCCCATTTTTAGATTCACTTTTTTTCTCCAGATTCAAATTGGGATTCCCTTTTTTCTCGAGATTCATTTTCAGTTTCACTTTTTTCTCCAGATTTATTTTCGGATTTGACTTTTTTCTTGAGATTCATTTTTGCTTTCAGATTCGGATTCAATTTTTATCTCCAATTCAGATTCGGATTCACATTTTGTCAAGACTCATTTTTGGTTTCACTTTTTTCTGCAAATTCATTTTCCACTTCTGCAAAATAATTGTGAAATCACAATCAAAATTGTCAACTCACAATCAAAATTTTCAACCCACAATCAAAATTGTCAATTCACAATCAAAATTGTCAACTAATAATCGAAATTGTCAACTCACAATCAAAATTGGTTTCACTTTTTTCTCCAGGTTCATTTTACCCATCTCTTTTTTCTCCAGATTGATTTTGGATTCAGTTTTTTTCCTCCACATTCAGATTCTGATTAACTTTTTTCTCGAGATTCATTCCCGGATGGATTCACTTTTTTCTCGAGATTCATTTTTGGAATTCATATTTTTCTTTAGATTCATTTTCTGATTCGACTTTTTTCTCGAGATTCATTTTCGCTTTCAGATTCGGATTCAATTTTTTTCTCCAATTCAGATTCGGATTCACATTTTGTCCAGACTCATTTTCGGTTAACTTTTTTCTCCAAATTCATTTTGCGCTTCTGTGAAAAATTGTCAACTAACAGTCAAAATTGTCAACTCACAATCAAAATTGTCAACTCACAAGCAAAATTTTCGAATCACAATCAAAATTTTCAACTCACAATCAAAATTGTCAACTCACAATCAAAATTGTCAACTCACAATCGAAATTGTCAACTTACAATCAAAATTGGCTTCACTTTTTTCTCCAGGTTTATTTTCTCCATCTCATTTTTCTCCAGATTCATTTTGGATTCAGTTTTTTCTCCACATTGAGATTCTGATTAACTTTTTCTCGAGATTCATTCTCCGATGGATTCACTTTTTTCTCGAGATTCATTTTTGGATTCAGTTTTTTTCTCCAGATTCAAATTAGGATTCACTTTTTTTTCGAGATTCATTTTCGGTTTCACTTTTTTTTGCAGATTCATTTTCAGATTCGACTTTTTTCTCGAGATTCATTTTCGCTTTCACATTCCAATTCAGATTCGGATTCACATTTTATCAAGACTCATTTTCGGTTTCACTTTTTTCTTCGAATTCATTTTCCGTTTCTGCGAAAAATTTTCAACCCACAATCAAAATTCTCAACTCACAATCAAAATTGTCAAATAATAATCGACATTGTCAACTCACAATCAAAATTGGTTTCACTTTTTTCTCCAGGTTCATTTTACCCATCTCTTTTTTCTCCAGATTTTTTTGGATTCAGTTTTTTCTCCACATTCAGATTTGGATTCAATTTTTTTCGATATTCAGTTTTGGATTCACTTTTTTTCTCCAGATTCAATTGCTTCACTTTTTCTCGAGATTCATTTTCGGTTTCACTTTTTTCTCCAGATTAATTTTCGGATTCGACTTTTTTCTCGAGATTCATTTTCGCTTTCAGATTCACATTCAATTTTTTTCTCCAATTCAGATTCGGATTCACATTTTGTCGAGACTCATTTTCAGTTAACTTTTTCCTCCAAATTCATTTTGCGCTTGTGTGAAAAATTGTAAACTAACAATCAAAATTGGCAACTCACAATCAAAATTGTCAACTCACGAGCAAAATTTTCGAATCACGATCAAAATTTTCAACTCACAATCAAAATTGTCAACTCACAATCAAAATTGTCAACTCACAATCGAAGTTGTCAACTTACAATCAAAATTGGCTTCACTTTTTCTCCAGGTTCATTTTCTCCATCTCATTTTTCTCCAGATTCATTTTGGTTTCAGTTTGTTTCTCCACATTACGATTCTGATTAACTTTTTTCTCGAGATTCATTCTCGGATGGATTCACTTTTTTTCTGGAGATTCATTTTTGGATTCAGTTTTCTTCCAGATTCAAAATTGGGATTCACTTTTTCTCGAGATTCATTTTCCGTTTCACTTTTTTTTGCAGATTCATTTTCGGATTCGACTTTTTTCTCTAGATTCATTTTCGCTTTCAGGTTCGGATTGAATTTTTTCTCCAATTCAGATTCGGATTCAATTTGTCAGACTCATTTTCGGTTTCACTTTTTTCTCCAAATACATTTTCCGCTTCTGCGAAAATTGTCAACTCACAATCAAAATTGTCAATTCACAATCAAATTGTCAACTCACAATCAAAATTGTCAACTCACAATCAAAATGTCGTCACTAAACTCGAAATTGTCAACTCACAATCAAAATTGGGTTTAACTTTTTCTCCAGGTTCATTTTACCCATCTCTTTTTTCTGCAGATTGATTTGGATTCAGTTTTTTTCTCAACTTCGGATTCAAATTCACTTTTTTCTTGAGATTCATTTCGGATGGATTAATTTTTCTCAGATTCATTTTTGGTATGAGTTTTTTTCTCCAGATTCAAATTGGATTCACTTTTTTCTCGACATTCATTTTCGGTTTCACTCTTTTTTTTGCTGTTCATTTATTTGGATTCGTCTTTTTTCTCTAGATTCATTTTCGCTTTCAGATTCAGGTTCATTTTTTCTCCAATTCAGAATTCGGATTCAACATTTTGTCAAGATTCATTTTCGGTTTAACTTTTTTTCTCCCAAATTCATTTTCCACTTCTGCAAAAAATTGACAACTCACAATCAATTGGTTTCACTTTTTTCTCCAGGTTCATTTTACCCATATCTTTTTTCTCCAGATTGATTTTGGATTCAGTTTTTTCTCCAGATAAAGATTCGGATTCACTTTTTTCTCGAGATTAATTTTTAGATTCAGTTTTTTCCTCCAGATTCAAATTGGGATTCACTTTTTTTTCGAGATTCATTTTCGGAATCACTTTTTTTTCAGATTCATTTGGATTCACTTTTTTCTCAGATCATTTTCGGATTCACTTTTTTCATGAGATTCATTTTCCGATTCATTTTTTTTCTCGAGATTCATTTTAGACTCACTTTTCTCGAGATTCATTTTCGGATCCTTTTTTCTTGAGATTCATTTTCGGATTCACTTTTTTCTTAAGATTCATTTTCGGAATCACTTTTTTTTCGAGATTCATTTTCGGATCCACTTTTTTTTCAGACTCATTTTCGGATTAACTTTTTTCTCCAGATTTATTTTCGGATTCACTTTTTTCTTGAGATTCATTTACCGATTCACTTTTTTCTCAAGATTAATTTTTGGATTCACTTCTTTCTCGAGATTCATAGAAATAAAGAAAGATAAAAAATGTTAATATATAAAGTTTAAGATTTTTTTTTGATGAAGAATTAATTTGTCTTGGGTTACCTGTTTCGAAGCAGACACAGGTAGCCCAAGATAGACACAGGTAGCCTAAGAGAAAGACTTTTTTTTCCAAAAAAATATCAGAGAAATAAAGAAAGTTAAAAAATGTTAATATATAAAGTTTAAGATTTTTTTTTTGAGGAATTAATTTGTCTTGGGTTACCTGTTTCGAAGCAGACACAGGTAGCCCAAGATAGACACAGGTAGCCCAAGACAAAAGCTAAAAAGCTAAAAAAGGTTAATATATAAAGTTTAAGATTTTTTTTTTATGAGGAATTAATTTGTCTTGGGTTACCTGTTTCAAAGCAGACACAGGTAGCCCAAGATAGACACAGGTAGCCCAAGACAAAATACTTTTTTTTTTCAAAAAAAATCTCAGAGCATTAAAGAAAGCTAAAAAAGGTTAAGATATAAAGTTTAAGATTTATTTTGATGAAGAGTTAATTTGTCTTGGGTTACCTGTTTCGAAGCAGACACAGGTAGCCCAAGATAGACACAGGTAGCCCAAGACAAAAGACTTTTTTTTTCAAAAAATATCAGAGAAATAAAGAAAGTTAAAAAATTTTAATATATAAAGTTTAAGATTTTTTTTTGATGAAGAGTTAATTTGTCTTGGGCTATCTGTTTCGAAGCAGACACAGGTAGCCCAAGATAGAAACAGGTAGCCCAAGACAAAATTCTTTGTTAGTAAAAAAATCCAGATTAATTAAAAAATATGTAAATGCTTAGAGCTTGATAAAATCACTAGGATTAGGATTTGGTGTAAAAATTTGTGTGAAAATGTGTGTGAAAATAGATTTAAAAATGGTGTAAAAATAATGTCAAAAAATAGTGTAAGTATGGTGTAAAATTTGTGTAAAAAAGTGTGTAAAAAGTGTGTAAAAAGTGTGTAAAAAGTGTGTAAAAGTGTTTAAAAAAGTGTGTAAAATTGGTGTAAAAAAGTGTGTAAAATTGTGTAAAAATGGTGTAAAAATGGTGTGTAAAAATAATGTGTAAAAAAGTGTTAAAAATGGTGTTAAAATGGTGTAAAAAGGGTGTAAAGATGCAGTAAAAATAGCGTAAAAGTGGTGTAAAAATGGTGTTAAAATGGTGTAAAAAAGTGTGTAAGAAGTGTGTAAAAATGGTGTAAAAAATGGTGTAAAAAGTGTGTAAAAAGCGTGTAAAAAAGTGTGTAAAAGTGTGTAAAAAGTGTTTAAAATTGTTGCAAAATTGGTGTAAAAAAGTGTGTAAAAAAGGTGTAAAAAAGGTGAAAAAAAGGTGTAAAAAAGTGTATAAAAAGAGTGTAAAAAAGTGTGTAAAAAGTGTGTAAAAATATTGTGAAAATAATGTAAAAATGGTGTCAAATGTGTGTAAAATTGGTGTAAGAATGGTGTAAAAAAGTGTGTAAAAAAAGTGGAAAAACGATTTAAAAACGGTTAAAAATGGTGCAAAAGTGGTGTAAAATTGGTGTAAAAATGGTGTAAAAATTGTGTAAAGATGGCGTTAAAATAGTGTAAAAATATTGTACAAATGGTGTAAAAATGTTGTAAAAATGGTGTTAAAAATGTGCAAAAAGTGTTTAAACAGTGTGTAAAAAGTGTGTAAAAAAGCGTGTAAAAAGTGTGTAAAAAGTGTGTAAAAATGGTGTGAAAAGTGTGTGAAAATGGTGTTAAAAAAGTGTAAAAATGGTGTAAAAAGTTGGAAAAAGTGTGTAAAAAACTGTGTAAAAAAGTGTGTAAAAAAGTGTGGGGGGAGGTGCAAAAAGTAGTTGAAAAGTTGTTAAAAAGTATTTAAAAAGTTAAAAAAAAGTTGGAAAAAAATTTAGAGAAAGATGTGGAAAATGTTAGGAAAAAGTTGGGAAAAAGATGGGGAAAAATATGCGTAAAACATGGAAAAAAGGCTAGGAAAACATTGAGAAAGAGTTAAAAAAAATGTTGTTAAAAAGTTGTAAAAGAGTTGGGAAAAAATTTGGAGAAAGATGTGGAAAATGTTGGGAAAAAGGTGAGAAAAAGTGGGAAAAAGTTGGGAAAAAGTTGGGAAAAAGTTGGGAAAAAGTTGGGAAAAAGTTGGGAAAAAGTTGGGAAAAAGTTGGGAAAAAGTTAGGAAAAAGTTGGGAAAAAGTTGGAAAAAAAGTTGTTAAAAAGTTGGAAAAGAGTTGGGAAAAAGGTTGCAGAAATATGTAGAAAATGTTGGGAAAAAGGTAAGAAAAAGTTGGAGTAAAAGATGTGGAAAATGTTGGGAAAGAGATAGGGGGAAAATTGGGAGAAAGTTGGTAGAAAGTTATGGAAAAATTTGGGAGAAGGTTGAGAAAATTTTAGGGAAATGTTGAGAAAATGATGGGAAAGAAGTTATGGAAAGGTTGGAAGAAAGTTGGAAGGAAGTTGGGAAATTGTGTGGAAAAATGTGGAAAGAGGGGAAGAAAAAAAGGGGAAGAGAGAGAAGGAGAAAAAAAGGGGGGAAAAGATAAAGGAAGAAAAAAAAAAGGGGGAAAAAAAGGGAAGGGGAAGAAGAAAAAAGGGGAAAAAGGGAGAAAAAAGGAGGAGAGAGGAGAGGGGGAAAAGAAAAGGGAGAAGAAAAAGAGAGAGAAAAAAAAGGGGAGGGGAGGAAAGGAAAGGAAAAGAAAGGGAGAGAAGCAGAGGGGAAGAGGCAAAAGGAGGGAAAAGGGGGGGAAGAAAGAAAAGGAGGGAAGAGGAAAAAAAGAGAAGAGGGAGGGGAGAAAAGGGGGGAAAAGGAGAGGAGAGGAGGAAAAAAGAAAGAGGAAAGGAAAGGGGGGAGGAGAGGAGGGGAAGAAGGAAGGAGAGGAAAGGGGAAGAGGAGGAGAGGGGGAGAGAGAGAGGGAAAAGGGAGAGGAAGGAGAAGGAGAGGGGAAGAAAAAAGAAGGAGAGGGGAGGAGAAGGAAGGGAGAAGGAACGAGGAGGGAAAGGAAAAGAAAAGGAAGAAGAGGGAGGAGAAGGGGGAAAGAGGAAGGAGGGGAAGGAAAAAAAGGAGGGGGGGAAAGAAGAGAAAGAGGAGAGAGGGAAAAGAAAGGGAGGAAGAAAAAAGGGGGGAAGAGAGAAAGGAGAAAGAGAAAAGGGAGGGAGAGGAAAAAAAAGAAAGGAGAGGGGAGGGGAAAAAAACGAGGGGGGGAGAAGAAAAAAAGAGAGGAGAAAAAAAAAAGGGGGAGGAGAAAAAAAGAGAAAGGAGAGGAAAGAGAAGAGGGGAGGAGAAGAGAGAAAAGGGAGAAAAAAAAGGGAGGGGAAAAAAAAAGGGGAAGAAAAAAAAAGGGGAGAAAAAAAAAAGAGAAAAAAAAAAGGGGAGAAAAAGAAAGGGGAGGAGGGAAAAAAAAGGGGAGGAGAAAAAGAAGAGGAGAGGAAGGGGAGGGGAGAGGAAAAAGGGGGGGAAAAAAAAGCAGAAAGAAAAAAAGAAGAGAAAGAAAAGGGGGGAGGGAAAGAGGAGGAAGAGAGAAAAAAAGAAGAAAGCGAAAAAAGAGGGGGGGAGAGGGGGAGAAAGGGGGAAAGAGGGGAAGGAAAGAGAGAGAGGAGAGAAGGGGAGAGGAAAGGGGGAGAGGAAAAAGAGAGGAAAGGGGGAAGGGGGGAGGAAAGAGAAGAAAAGGGAGGGGAAAGAGGAAAGAGGAGGGAGAGGGGGAAGAAAAAGAAGAGGGAGAGGGGAAAGGAAAAAGGAGAGGGAAGGGGAGAAGAAGAGGAGAGAGAGAAGGGGAAAAGAAAGGAGAAGGGAAAGGAAAAGAAAAGAGGAGGGAGGGAGGGGAAAAAGGAGAGGAGGGAAAGAGGAAAAGGAAAGGAAGAGGAAGGGGAAGGGAAAAGAAGAGGGAAAGAGGAAGAAGAGAAAGAGAGAGGGGGAAAAAAGAGAAGGGAAAAAAGGAAAGGGGAGGGAAAGGAAAAGGAGGGAAGGGGAAAAGGGGAGGAGGAGGGAAAGGAGAGAAGAGGGAAGGAAGAAAAGAGGAGAGGAAGGGAGAGGAGGAAAGAGAAAAGGGGGAGAAGGGAAGGAGAAGAAAAGAAAAGAAAAGGGAAGGGAAAAAAGGAAAGGAAAGGGGAAGAGGAGAGAAAAGGGAAGAGGGGGGAAGGGGAGAGGGAAAGGAGGGGAGAGAAAAGGAGAAGGAGGGAGGAAGGGAAGGGGAGAAGGGAAAGGAAGGAAGGGAGAGGAGAGAGGAGGGAAAAAAAAAGAAGGGAAAGAAAGGGAAGGAAAAGGGAGGAGGAAAAAGGGGAGAAAGAAGGGGAGGAAAAAAAGGGGAAAAGGAAAGGGGGAGAAAAAAAGGGGAGAAAAAAAAGGGGGGGGGAAAGGGGGAAAAAAGAGGAGAAAAAACAGGGGAAAAAAAAGGGGAGAAAAAAGAGGAAAAAAAGAGAAGAAAAGGGGGGGAAGGGAGGGGGGAGGGAGGAGGGGGAGAGGGAGGGAAGAGGCGGAGAGGAAGGGAGAGGGGGAGGAGGGGGAGGAAAAAGGAGAGAAGGAGAGAGGAGAGAAAATT